CAAACTGGGGTGCATGTCCGAAGATGATGAGTTGTTGAAGGATATTCTCACATTGAAATATTTAGGAAATTGTTGATTACCTGCCAAAGGTTTTGGACTTGCAATTTGTTTGCATTGCTGAGATGGAGATGTTCACTCGACAGTGTCACAGCATGCCAGCCCTGAAACCACTGGACTGCAGCACAGCTCAGGCGTGCGCTCAGATTTGCTGCTCTGACTTTCAGCTGGACTTTAACTGGACCAATCCATTTCTGCAGCATGGCATAACCGTTCCCGCCTCCCACAAAAAGGCCACAATCGTGCAAGCGTTATGTTGTCAAAATGAGAAATGATAAACGAATGTGGTAAGTGGTCGGCTGTCAGGACAAAGACAGCCTGTCCTCTAGCGAAGTTAAATCGGGTGCATCCACAGCTGTGCAAAACCAACAGTCCTGGGTAGTCCCCGCGAGCGAGATCTTGTCAGCTTGTTGATCAGTCAGCCTGGGAGTCTTGAGGACCTGATGCACACTCCACAGGTCCACGCAGATTTAGTCCTTCGTATCCAGATTGTTCATGTGTTTGTAGGCCTTTTGTCTGGTTTTCTTTTGTGATTTTTCCACTTTGGGGTTTGAGTCTGGTAATGTCTCCACTTACTTCAGCTGATGCTATCTTCTTTTGCTTTCTCTGTATTAGAAATATTCCTTCCTTTTATCTTTTCAAGTATAGTTCTCTCAGTATTCCTTATCCTGTTATATTGGTCTCTCGTTTATAGGTCTGTTCCCTTATTTATGGATTCTTACAGCTTCACCAGCATTTGGGTATTTAATAATAAATGAAGAGCAGAAAATAGGAGATTCATTAGGTAATTCATTGTTGTCATCTCCCAGTACGAATGGACCAGGTAAAAAGAGCTCTTTCCTGTCACATAATGTACTTTCACCCATTTATAATAAATCAACAAAACATCTGGCTCCAAAAGTAGGCTCTTAAAAACGCTCTGGCATGCTCTCAGAGGAACTGGTTTCACATACGTCTACTGCAAATGCCGAGAACTGGTAACAGGATTGTGATAGTAAAAGGCTAATAGCCCTGCTATGACAAACATGCACTGTTGAGAATGTGATTTTTTAAGAATAAAATGTTTTGGGGAATATCACGCACATGCCACTTACCAGCAGTATTCTAATAATCAAATGTTCAGAACAAAGCGTTACATTGCTTCCATTGATTCATTTAGAAGTTCTGTTAAGGAAGGCAAAAAGGAAAATGAGAGATAAGCCAGACCTCTGAACTTCTTTAAAAGTAGCTATTTGAGGTTGAAATATCTTAATGAGTTTTCCGGTGGAAAAAGGCCCTTTGGTGTATATCGATATTTGTTAGTATTTGTAATTTGCGTATCTGTACCCAGGCATGCGTTTACTGCGCTGCAAGTGAAAATGGGGGCTTGTAAGTGGTTCTGCATTTTTTTGGCACATCATTGTCTCACTTCACTTCTTCTCATAAAACTTGTCCTGCTAGCCAGGTAGATTTGCCTTCACTGCAAGCAAAGTGAAGCAGCTGTAACTGTATGGGGCAGGAAAGGCAGTCTTGTGGTTGAGTTCTGTATCGAAGTTGCAGTTGTTACAGCTTAAGCAAACCAAGTACTTCTTCTCTGCACAAATTTTCCATCTGTGAGGTGGGAGACCAGGCTCATTTGGCAGGTTTGCTGCTTCAGGTATACAGGCATACCATTTTTGGGAGACACAGGTGTACTTTAGTGATGAGTGAGATGGAGAAATACATAAATTAAGGGATTTCAAGAAAGAGCAGAATGAGGAGAAATCAGGATGCTTTCAGAAGGAAAATTTTAAATGAACAAATTGTAGGGGGACAAGGTTAAAAATGTAAAAGACAGAGAAAAAGAATTTGCAATAGACTAACTGAGTGATGACCAAGGCAGAACTAAATATGTAAATTTATTTTTTTTTTCTTTGCAATTCATAGAAGAAAAGATCAAATTGATTTCTCAGATATTGCGAAAGAATAAATTTGTGGATTTTTCTGTGACCATCTGGATGTACATGCTGTTGAAGGGCAGAACTGCGTGTTGTTCTCTAATGGTAAGCGTGACAACACTGAAGATAGTCAGGTTTGGAACAGAGATGGATAGGAAGATATTTGGAAAGAAAGACAAGAAATTCAATTATTTTGTGTATTTTAAGAGAGTAACAGCAAAGGAATATCAGTTGGAGATTTGAGAATATTCGAGGGAAAAATTTGGCAGTCAAAAAGTAGTTTTCAGAGTTACTAATACAGATCCCGATGTCATGAGAGCGGGTCAGGTTGTCCGAGGTTTGAGTACATTGCAAGGAAGAACGAGGAAGGGACTGACCATCAAACTGTGGGGGGCACAGACTGGAAAAAGGAGAAGAGCAAATTGGAGAAGCTAATGGGGGAGTAAGGTGCAAAGCAGGAAAAGAACATAAAAAGAGGTCTGAAGGCCCAAGGTACGGAGGAAGTTTTGCATTTTCTTCTTGTCAGGAGGATATTGGACTAAGTGGAACATTAGATTGATCTGATCTGGAAACTTATTTATGAGAAGGAAATTGTTTGTGTTGAAAGATTTTGACAGCTCAAAGAGGAGGAAGATGTCTCTTGTAGGATGTCACTGAGGGCGGTGAGAGCAATTTCAGTGGAGGGGAGCAGCATTACAATTGCAGAGTATTTAAGAGACGAGAGAGGGAATTAGGACAGTTACAGTAAACTACAGGTTTGAAAAAAATTGCTTGAAGACGGGAAGAGGGTAGTCATTTGTGCAAATTAGATCCATTATGTTTGGAACTGCATATATTGAGCTATAAAATAAGGCTGTTCATGATACTAGCAAGGCTCTCTTTTTCAGCAAAGGATTTGGCTGCTAGGGAATATGTTTGCTTTTCCTGCTTTGCTTTCAGTAAGAATAATGAAGGAATAATTACAATTGTTCATCTCTAGTGGAATTACGTATTTTTTGGAATGTATGTGGAATACTAGGTTGTCTATATATATAGTTTTTGGAAAAAGACTAATTAAAACACGAGTTTCTAATGGTGACTCTTGCAATAGCATAACCTTTCAAAGGTAATTGAACTGATAGTAATTTATATGGGCTCTATTTGTTCCCATGTTGATGGTCTTTACATAAAGGGGAACTGACATATTAGAGTTTCTGCCAAATGCACAAAAGGAAGAAACAGAGACATTTTACATAGATGTATTTTTTTTTTTCAGCTTGGCCTGTCATAATGATGCTAGGCGTTAATAGAAATGAAATGATAGGCTGTGTGGTATTTTGAGACATAAATCTGAGTTTAAAGTTAATAGTGTACCTGCCGGAGCTGGGAAGCTATTTGGGAAAACATGGATAGTTCTGTTTTTAACATTCTTATTACATACAGTCATTGCAAATTGGGCTGGGGAACCTTGGGTGGATCTCTGATTTATCCACCCGTCTGAAGGTAGGCTCAATTACACCTAATTCCTGCCAGATGTTTGTTTAACCTATTTTTGAAAAGTTTTGGTAAGTTTACGCTTTTCTATCACAGTATGTAGCAGCTCCTATCTTTAGAAAGTTTTTTCTTAAGGCTTAAACTAAATCTGCACTGCTGCGGTTTCACTTGTTTGGTTTCGTGTCCTGCTCACAGTAGGTATTCAGAGCAGCTTATATTCTCCCTTTTCGCACCTTATTTTTAGGTATTTGAAGGCTGCTGGCAATTCTCTTGTCAGTCTTCAGTTCTCCTGATTAAATAACTGTAGTGTAGGATTTAGCACTGGTTTTAGACTCTAAATTTAGATAACTGCATATAGGTAGCTAAATGCAGTCTGGTTGTGTGAGCGCCTGTTACACTCAGTGGAGGTGTAGGCATGCAGTCAGTGAAGCCTAGAGAAAGGGAAAGAATTAAAAATTACTGATAAATTGATTAAGAAATGTTGATTCAGCAACTGAATTGTCTTACTTGGTATATCACAGCCATATATCCTATGCAAAGATATGACATGTCAGATACAAATCAAATGACTTGCAGACTTGCTGCTCAGTCCCATGCAGGCATCTTGTCAGTCATTAATCCTCTCTCCAAAGACAAAGACAAATTAAGTAACATTTAAAACACAGGACTTTCTTAACCTGAGGAACAAAGCTTGCTCCAGTGTTAGTGTTCAGAGAGAAAAATTTTCCTCCTTTTAAAGCCACGTGAACATTATCCCTGAAGGAAAACATGGGGACTATTGCACGATTAAGTCCCAAATAACAAGTTCCAGAACATCTGGGAATCTATGTTGAACCTCTTACTGATGAAGAAAAGGTAGTATCCGTAAATTTACTAAGTTTGTACATTTAGGGAAGTATTTTCTGCATAGTTTATTGTTCTCATTAATGTAAATGCATATTTTAAAAAAAGTTGGCATTTTGCCCTGGCAAATAGCTTATAGATAAAAGAAAGTGTTTTCCTATAATTCTGCACATACAAATTCTTATGATTTAGCATGTCTTGAATGGAGTTCCAAATGTAACTTGTAATGCTTTAAGTCTTGCAATGTATCAAGACATTTTCCACCAAAATTAACTGTTAATGCTGAGCAGTTTCTCCTACGAGTGCTACAAGATCTTCTGCTTTTGAATTAGCAGCTGACATCACTGGCTTCTACGCAGGTCTGGAGTTTGCTAAACATTTTTTGTGTATTAGCTAGCGCGGTTCAGATTTAGTATTGATTTTAGGCTGATTCTTAATAGTGGTGCAATTTATAAGCACCAGCAGTTTTCAAACTGAGTTTCCAAAGTTAAAATGTGCATGACTTTGGAATGGGATCTTAATTCAAATCTGTACGTCTCCTGCTCCCAGAATTTTCCCATGCTTCTTAAGAGTAGAGAAGGAAAACATAATATTTTGAGGAGTATTTGGTACTTATTAAAATTATACGTACGCCCTCCTTCAAAAGCTTCTTGATTTACTGCAGGTTGTTCATGTGTCGCATGCAGACATTTTTAGAGAACAGATTTCTTATCACTGTGAGCAGCGAATGGCTTCCAGTACTCCACGATCAGGGAATAAAAACGCTATATCCCTTGTAAAAGGTAGGAAACCATGAAATCTATAAGCCGCTTTGGCAGCCGAAGTGGCTGTTGGTGCCAAGATTTGGTTACTGACCCACAGCTTCCTGTTTTTAAATATATTAATTGATTCGCAAAGAGCATCTTTTGGAAACAAGAACTCAGACAGCCTGGCACAGGCTGGAGCTCCGCCAAGACTGCTCGGGAAGGTTGCCATGCTGGGAGCGAGCGAGCGAGAGCGAGCGAGGGAGGGGAGGGAAGAAAAAAAGGCAAGACTTGGCACAGCTCAGTCAAATCAGCTTCTTTTGTCTGCTTTCTCGGCTTGAGCTTCGGGAAAGAAAACCGTCCTGGGGTACAGGAAAACTCAGAACTTTTTGGTTTTCAAACTTAGATGGCTTTTTAAGTCTCTTGGGCTGTTTGAAAGTGGTGCTACATTAAATGATGTTCAGTTACCAGTGATAAGAGAAATAAAAAGACTTCTTTAATGAAGCCTCCACAATAACAGTTTATACATAAGGGGAATACGATATTTGATTTTTGTATGTCTGATTAAACTGTGAGGGAGCCGAGTAACTTGGAAGATTGCAGAGGGAATACCTAAATAAAAGGGAGAATTTTAATTTTTTTCAACAAAAAAAAAGTTTTCATCGACATGAATATGCTTTCAAACCAAACCTGACCTCCTTCGGAATATGTTCAGAATGGGAATTTCAGCGTTTCTTTCATATAAGCTACAGACGCTAACTTTTAATGGAACATCCTTAAAGATTTCATCTGACCCAGCAACGAAGTAAGAGTAGAAAGTTGTGGCATCTTGATGCAAAAGTAAGTATGTTCTTAAAGCAACACTATTTATTTTTGCTGCTTCATGCTGTCCTAACTCCATCTCCCAGCTATTAGTGACAACACCGAAGACCAGCAGGGCAAGCCGAAGACACCCAGACTGTGCCTGAAGGGCAAAAGAGAAATGAGAGCGTGGTTGTTTTGCTGCTGCTCTAAAACATTTCTTTCATTATATCTTACTGGACAGCATATGAGATGGCTAAATTTTCTACTTCTGGAGGAAATAAGAGAAGGAGAAATATTGACTTCTGCCAAGTAGAGAATGTTCGAAGATGACAGAGCTGGACTCGAACTGATGACACTGGATATAGAAACTTCAGTTTGTAGTTACAGTACCTGTTTGCTGTAAACTGTGAAAAAATCTGCTCTTTTCTCGTGCGTGGATTAAAAAAAGTCTGTGACGACTGAAGCGTGGATGTCTTGTGATTTCAATAAAATTAAGGACCTAAAAATCCATTGTTTGTTTTCTCCAAGGGTGCCTGGATTTTCAGTGAGACAGGTACCTTCTTTCTGATTTCATAGGAACAAATACTAGTATGCTGCCTATTAGGCCTGGATGTGGTTGGAATATACTACTTCTGCTATGACAATCAGCACTGTTATTTCAGAGAGTAACTGTAAAGCATAGATTTTTATGGATCATCTTCACTTCTAGTAAGTATTATGCTATCCTTTAAGAATAGATTGTTCAGCTTGTAAGATTTGTAATTTCTGTCATGCTGCAGAAGCACATTTCCCTAATTTTTATATGCTGAAGGAAAGCAAGAAACAAAACACGAAGGAAAAGCATTTTAGCAGGAATCTGTTTTTCTTTTAAATGTACATCATGGGATTGTGAATACTACACTACTAGAAATAACTGGCCTTTCTGCTATGCAGAAGAACTTAGATTACTAAATATTGCATTAAAGTGGTTTCATAGCAAGATAGGTCAGATTGTTACTATATCAATGAACCTTTTGAAAGATACTAAACTAAATGGTAGTTAAGGTGCTATTGTGATTGCCATTTGATTTACTGAACTCTTTTGATGTGATTTTGTTAATGATTTTTGAGGAAAGTGTCTCCATCAAATGATCTTATAAAAATAACAATCCTATCTTTTTAAACTGTTAAAAAATGTTGTATTCAACAGATAATGTGTTGAAATAGGTACCCCACGACAGATTACAAACTGGTACTCGCTGGAAAGGAGCTGTTTGAATGAGTTCGGTGTTGCTTTCTGGGTGGTTAGTTAGTATGTTGTTCATTCCTGCACAGACATTAACATGTGATGGGATCGGGGAAACAGAAAGCTGTGTTGGATGTTAAGTTTGCGATCAGAATAGCATAGTAAGTTTGTCTTTCTGTGTCCATAGCCTGCGGTGGATTTCTTCTTTTATTTCTTAGAAATAGTATGCAGTCTCAAAGCGTATGCTTTCTCGTTTCTTTACTATGTTTTAAAACAAAATTTAAATGGATATCCCTATTAAAAATTAGAAGACAATACAAAACATCCACTGTGGTGCCTTTAAGTGAGCACAAGCTCTGAATATTAGAAGAATAACCGTATTTCTCTCCTGAGTGCTTATATAGTTTCATGAATGATTTCTCAGGTTTTAAACATGATCAACATGTGGGTCCTTGCAATGCATTTACAAATAGAAATATTTTTGCCAGTACTTGAGTATATATTGATGCTCAAGTCATTTGGAAAACAGTTACTGTAGTTTTGAAAGTATTGTTTATGTTCAAAATCCCTAGTCAATACGTTGTGTGTTCCTAAATGAGATACAGACCACTGCAGATTTCCTTTGGCCTACCTATAAAGAAAGTATTTTTTTCTTAAAACCTTCTCTTTTAAAGTTTCATCTTAAGTTCTTGTATTTGGAAAATACCCCAACCAGATGAATTGAAATCAAAACTTGAATAGCATAGTTTAAATTGTTAGTTTCAGAATGTTGATTGGATTGCATGAAAATTTAATTTGTGAGTGTAATTTGACATGATTTATTATATTTAGATATTTTGTTTAGGATCAGGATCATAATTTGGAGTTTTCTGGATACTTTAATCAGATTATTCATCAATATCACTGTTCATTTATGATTCTTAATTATTGGTTGTGTAATTTAAATACTTTGAACTTAAATGGGCAATTTCTGTTGAATGTTTATTGATTTAATTATTAAATATTGTGAATTAAACTGTACAATTCCTTAAAGTAGCATATTTCATTGTGGAGGTAAGGATTAGGGTTTAGGTTTTAACTTGATTTTTCTTATTATATTAAAGAGACATAATTTTATTTCACATAGTAGCGTTGCGTCTGATACTGTAAAGGGCCTGTGTCTCATCTCACTTGTATGTACTAGTAATATATAAACCAAGATTTACTCCTCTGTATTTACTAGTATCAAAGTAGAATGAGATTAAAATGGGACTGTAATGGCTTAGTTTATGCCTTTTATGTTTATATGCGTAAACCGTTTTAAACATATTTAACACACATTTGTTAGAAGGTTGAATGAGCGCATACTATGAACCAATGCATTTATAGGACGAGGAAGCGATAAGCAATTTCCTAAATATGGCTGTAGGAGAATAATGCAAGCATTAAAATAGAATTTGTACAGATTTCGCGTGGCGTTTTACCTAAAGTGCTTAGATCCATGGCAAATGCTGAAGAATGCCTCTCTCCACCTGCTAGGACTCAAGGCCCTGCCATTGCTGAGGTATCCTCATCTTCAATTGCCAATATTTTAATAAGGCTACATATATTTTAGGACTCTTTCCATTTACCATTAACCATTACTCCAGAATATTTGCTTATTTGGTAGCACACTACGTGACAAGATGTTTTCTCTGTTTATAGAAACTTTTCTGGCATTGGTGTCATCAATCTAATTATTCCATATAAGTGTAGCATGTAATCCTTTAGGTTAATCTAGTACACAGCGGTAGGTAAAGCCATAAGCACGTTGCTAGTATTTCATCTATAAGGCCAAGCTAGTCCAAGCTGGAAAACTGCCTGGGAGACTGCAGGAAGAAGGCAGTCCTTTATTAGTCTATATCTGTGCAACAGAAACTTTGAGCGAAATACAAAATTAAGACTGCTCCATTTCTGATATTATCTACGCATCCATACTCTTAGCAAAAGGTTTGAACTGCAGGTAGACTTTATAGAATGGTGTTAATGCATTTGGTCCGTACTGCACAGTCACTGTAGGGTCCAATTCACACAGTGTAAAAGGGCCTTTTAAAATTGGAGCAAGCACCTTTACAAGGTGATCTAGAGGGCCGTCAAATAGGTCATGTGAATCACTCTATTAACTGTAGAGGTAACCCAGGGCAACCAGCTTAGGCTAAGAAACCTAATTTGCAGATGTCTAAATTTGAGTGAGATTAATCAAAGTCTAAATAAAATAATTTACAAAAAAGCAAATGTTTAAATACAAATTAACTGCAATTATTCATACAGGCTTGTGCTCCACCACAATGCAGTGAGTATTTGCTGTGTTCAATTTTATAGTTGAGAAAAAAGGAAAACACAACAATAAATGATAAGAAAATGAAAATATTAATTCTTAATATTTTAAAGTTGTCCTAAGATAACTATATTGTCTGTTGTATTCACATTTATTGTATAGATGTGGGAGTAACTTGCATTTTTTTAGGCCCTGGCTGATTCTGATAATCTTGTAGAAATTGTGGTAGAGATTGTAGAAATGGTAGAAGGTTATCTTCTTGATGAGGATGGACATCCATATTTTCCCAGTTGCTTTCCCGTATTTAAATTATCCTCAGTATACTTCTACAATTCTCTGCATTGCTGTAGCAGTTTTTCTGTGTTTTGCTGATGCTATGGAATTGTAAAAAATTTGTGTCTTCCCTGACAAAGAGAGAGCATCCCAGTTAATGCATTTGAGAGCGTCAGTAGTCTTCACCTTGTGTTGAGTATTGTTTCCTTTTATGTTCAATTATATGCCACTTATTGTGGCTAGAAAAATTAGAGAAAATTAATGGGCTGCTGTGCATTTTCTCTTGTAAGTCATGGAGATGCTGAGATTGACCTGTGGACCTGATTTGAATGCTGTTTTCATTGCTAGGGTATGAATTTGCAGGAAATTGCCATTATTGTCCATTCCTTATACTTGTTAAGTCACCTCAATTTTTTTGTATGTTTGCCAAGACCAAGCAGAAGTCACCTTGTTTTCTGCAACTTCTGTAATTTCTTTTAGCTAGCTTAATTTTTTTCTCTTAATATACTACAGCTTTTCCTTTCCTGGATCTGTTTTGGTTTTAAACCTTGAGAAGACATAAGGAGCCTTGAATCTTGTCTAATGATTTATAGCAGAGAATGACTCCTGTATTTGCTACCTCCTATGCCAGGACAAAACCTGTTCAGTAAAAGAGAATAGGAGTGACATTTGGAGATGAATTGGCTTTTCTTTGTCAATAGATTGATATATAACAAGGTGTTCAGGGACATCGAACCCCCCTGTGTGTTGTGATCCTCAGATATCGGTCCCAAGACACACTGTGCCAATCCATTCTCAGCTCTGTAATCTGTCACGCATCTGAAATCAGATTTTTTTACTCGGCTGTCTCCACTGTGCAGGTCCTTCATTTGCCACTGGTATCAGTTAAATCTAAAGGAATACTGAAAAAAATATTGGCAGCTCATACTAAAGCTTAATGACCTAAGTGTTGAAGCAGGAGATGTGAATCCTAGCATCTGTCCTACAGTGAGAGCATTGCCATTTCTGTAGACCGTAAACATATCATAAAGCATCAGTACTGCAGTCTCAACATCACAGGTTTTTATATCTGTTTAAATTGAGAGACACCTCCAAAAGAAAAATGAAAATTCCCTCTTCTTCAGTTTGTTTTCCATGAAGATAAAAGATATTCTTGAAGATGCTTGGTGACACTTTTGTTTTCTGTATTCCTAGATATCTTGGAATGGATTAATATGAATCTCCTCTAGTTGAAAACCTCACGCACCATACAATTTTCCCAACTCTATATGAGGGGATAGTCTACACTAAAGGCCACTTCTACTCTATCCCATGTCTTTCCGCTATTTGATTGTGTTAATATCAGCATGTAAGTTCAGATCCAGAACAACTTTGAAATAGTATTGACTCCTTTTGAGAAGAATACAGAGAGCTCCCTCTCCTGAAATTCAGAGTCTAGGCTTTCTTCTGCATCCTGCTGGTCCTGTCTGGTTGTTAGTGTAGTCCTAGGTGTTAAGTCCTGTGTGTCCTATATGTAATGTAGTCCCATGTGTAAGGCCCTTGTAGAGGTTGAAAGAACTGTTCAAATCTCTGAGTTGATCTCTATGCCCTTTACACTATTCTGTTGTCCTCCTTCATTAGTGACTGTTCCTCACCTGGCTCCAATACAACCTTAATCAGCATGGATGCTAATGCATCATGTTACAGACTGTTAAGAAGACGACTATGTCAACGAAGAGAAATGGAGAAACATTTTTTCAAAGACAGTCTATAGATTTCCATTTCATGAACCATAAAACAGCAGCTCACCAGAAGTTCATATTGATGCCATCTTTGTTATTCTGCTGATATTAGTGGATATCAAAATAGCTTTTTAGGAAAATGGCATATATACACCAAGAAAACCTGGGGATTCTGGGTGCCTAATGCCACTAT